CTCTCCCCTCTTTTCCTTTTCTGTTTCTCCTAACTCCCTCTCTCCCTCATCAGCCCCCACCATTTGCTCATGAGATCTTCTCCCTTTCCCATTCTGTGGGGGACCATGTATGGCTCTTTTAGGGTCCTCATTGTTTCCTACGTTTTCTGGTAGTATGGATTGTAGGCTGGTCATCCTTTGATCTATGTCTAATAGATCATACCATGTTTGTCTTTTTGTGACTGGGTTACCTCACTCAGGATAGTTCCTTGTAGTTCCATCCATTTGCCTGCGAATTTCAAGATTCCATTGATTTTTTTTTCCCTGCTGTAATGTGTAAATTTACCACATTTTCTCCATCCATTTTTCAGTTGAGGAGCATTTAGGTTGCTTTATGGTTCTGGCTATTATAAATAATGCTGCTATAAACATAGTCAAGCAAATGTCCTTGTTGTATGAATGATCATCTTTTGGGTATTTGCTTACATGAACAAGATGTTGCTCATGGACTCCAGTCTAATAGCTGGGAAGCCAGCATTGGACCTTCCCAGATTCCCTGAACATGGTGCTAGTTGGGAGGACTGGGCAGTTTATGGGGCCTCTGGTAGTGGCCAGCATTATCCCTAGTATATGGATGGAATTTGGGAACCTACCCCACATAGAGGGATACTCCCTCAGCCTAGACACATAGTGTAGGGCCTGGGCTCTGCTCCAAATGATATGACAGACTTCGAAAGTCTCCCCATGGAAGACCTCACCCTCCCAGGTGTGCAGAAAGGAGATGGGATGGGGGTTGGTGGGGGGTACAGGGGAGGACAGAAGGGTGTAGGAACTGGGATTGACATGTTTGCTTCAAATTTAAATTAAAAAAAATATATTGCATTTTTCTTCTCAAGGGAAGTAAAAAACCCTACCACTTTTCAACTGATGATAATTTTGTTAATAAAAATAAAACACGAAAGTGTTTGTGTTGTAGTTAATATCACCTTTCTAAATAATGAATGTCATGGATTTTGATTTTCATCTGAACTGTGGAGATGTCAATGTTTTTCTTGTGTGAAACTCTTTGGGTAAAACATGTGATGAATGGCAGTCTGAATTTATAAATAATTTATAATTAATGAGTCACAAGAATAATGGGTTAGGGAAACATATTTTATGGTCAGTCAACCATATCCTATGGATTCATTAGACTAAAAAGCAACTGTGAACTAAAGTAAAGGTGACAAGAGAAAAAAAAAAACATTAAACATTCATTTTCCTAACTTGAGATGGTCACTTGTAATCTGGTATAAAATGCCTTGATTTTTATGTTTTAAAAAATTATAATTCATAGCATTCATAAAAGAAAGGCAAACTGTGAGGTTCATGTTCTCAGTGAACAAACAGAATCATTTGTCACATGTTGAGGGTAACCTTTCAGAGCGAGAGTTCAATAGATGATGCCTGTAGGGACAGGTTGAAGGGATATCTGCTTCTTAGTTCCCTGCCATTTACTGGATGAAGACTGACTATAAATTACAAGCCTGTTTGGTGTCCAAAGTAGTTTCCAGAATTTTATGCTTTGTAACTATGGTGTTTGACAAGATCTCAGGATGGTCACAGAGTGTAGGGACCATTTACCTGATCTAGAAGGTATCAAAATTGGGGGCATTTTAAACACTCTCCAGCCTATATAAGAACTCTTAACTCTGTGCACATTAGCAATCATTCTTTATTACTCTACCCCAATAAAGACCAATCCACAAAGGAAAAGGAATTTAATTTTTAAATTTTTATTTTAAAAATACAATACACAGCAGAGAATTATTTCCTCCCCCACTGTTCTTTCACAAAGGAAACTAAGGTAAATGTAACCGAGATATTTGGCTAGGATAGATCCTGAGAAAAAGAGAGGCCCAGTTAGAAGTTGAATAGACAAAGTCTGTCAAAGAAGGCTCACTTCTCTTTTAACATAAAAGAGCCTTTTAAGTTACCTTAGGCATCAGATAAGACTTGTGCAGAATTTCTGCCATGCATACAGAGACTACTGAAGTTTTCAGCTTGAACAATTTACACTGACCTGGGATCCAAGGAAGTAGAATAAAAATGAGGGTCTCTATCAGGAAGGTATGTGATTGCCTGCTTTTACTAGACTATGTATATACATATTTATATATTGATATTAACGCTTTCACAGGCCCTAGGGATAGAACCCAGGGCCTGTGCATGCTAGGAAAGAGCTGTACTACAGAACTCCAGCTCCTTCCATTGTTTTTAACATTTTCTTAAATGTATTGTCTATTATTCTTGGTAATAGTATCATGGTTAAGTAGTCTCTGTTGGGTTTGATTTATTCCTATGCATCTTTAATTTTTCCTGGACCTTATAACTGTGCAACCTTGGGTTCTTGATGCTTACATATTAGAAGTGATTTCACTCTGACCCTGTTTTGTTGTTTCATTTTATAACTCTTTCATACTGACCATGTTTAGGAAGGTACAGAAATTCATCACTGACATTGACACCCTGATATAATGTTAAGGCCTCCAAGGGGAAAATAATTCATTCTTGGGTCCTAAAGCAGATGTAGAACCAGTAGAATTAAACAATTGTACAAGCCCAACCAGCCACCTGCCTTTGCTTGATATTATGCTCACATACTTTGTTACTCTGAATTGCTATAGAGATCTCAATTTTTATAAAAGGGAATTTCTTTATTTGGCTTTTTAGTGAAAGTGTTTTGACTCTTGCAGGACTGGGATTGGACACATGAAATCCATTTGTAAGTAAGGGACAAGCCTGATTTCTGTTGCTGATTTCTGTTGAAATTAAGAGAGTAAATTAAATGCTTATTTTCAACTCTCAAGACTAGAAAGACTTTCCTTTAAATCAGTGCATCTTGGGTTAATTTTAGAGACTATTTCATCCTTCTTATATTTTGGTGACCACATTCATCTTTAATTCCATGTGGTTCTTATAAAGTTGGTCCCTCGGCCTTTCCTGAATGGCAGCTGAGGTGCAGAGTGAAGACACCAGATCTGGACTTCTCTTTTACAAAAAAAAAAAAAAAAAAAACGTCATATCCAGACACTGGAATTTACTTATTTCTTAGCACTATAAATAGAAGCCTAGACTTTGCAAACATATCCCCCATGGAGGGATAACTGCCTTATTCTAGAGATAGGAGAGAAGCCCTAGTCCCTACTTCACAGGACCTGTCAGATCTACATGACCCCAACTGGATGGCATTCCCCTACATATTGTATTGTGGTGGGGGGTTGGGAGGGGAGGGTGTTTAGAGTGCATGGGAGAGGGTAGAGAGGGCAAAAGGGAGGGAAGGAGGGAGGGAGGGCTTGGGGGGAGGGAGGGAGGGAGGGAGAGGGAACTGGGATCGACATGTAAAATAATAATAAAAAAAAAAAAAAAAAAAAAACTCCAAAATTTAAGTTGAAGAACAAGTTACTGGGGAAAAGTATTTCTATTTTTGTTTCCACAGAAAATGAAAAGATGTGGATTCCTTCCAGACTAATGTGGTTTGATCACACCAGACCGCCTGAAACAGAGTACAAGCTGATCCTACATTCCAAACAGCTGGACAAAACAGCCCTACAGACTACAGCTAGGATATCTGAATCTTCTTCGAATCCCCCAAGACAGCGCCCCTTACCAGCAGGAAGTAGTTTGGAAAGAACGACGCCCAAATTCCCAAATATTGTGTATAAATGTTTGTTTTCATTTAATTGGACTTTGTTATATAAAATTAAATAAAAAATACTCTATATGCAAAAAAAAAAAAAAAAAAAAAAAAAAAAAAAAAAAAATAAATAGAAGCCTAGACAGCTCTGTCTTTGTAAAATGTTTATGTTCATTCATATAGGGTAAACATTTAAACTACTGCAGACCTTCTTAAAACTATTTTGACATTTCTTCATATTCCTTAAATGTAGGTAGTTGCTCAGGACTCCAATGGCCTCATAATGGCCTCAGTGTCATGGGTATTGAGGCAGCTGTGACATATTTGAGGGGAAAAAAAATGCAAGTTCAGGGCAAATCTGAATTTTGGACTTAGCTATCTCCTTGACTAGTGGTACGTTATTAGGCATGTTATCAGTCTTGGCTTCATTTTTCTCCTGTGTAAATAAAGCCCTCTTTCAGTAATTATACAGGATTGCTGGGATGGTTAAATGATAAAATAAATATAAATACATTTTAATTAAAGTATTAGACAATTAGAAAAATATATTAATCATATTCCTAGCATATACATAATAGTATGCTAAGATGTGATTCTTTCCCATTGAAATTATTTGAATTCTTGGCCAGTAAGAAAGCTTAAGAATGGACTATAGCCATTCTGGAGACACTGTCAATGGGGGAAAGTTACTCAATAATAAGGTATCAGGGCGGGATTTACCTTAAACCATTCTAAATATTGCCTGAATTTAAAAATTGCAACTGAACCATTAAACCACAATTGTCAAAGAAAAAGTCCAAATAAATAATTTTAATTATGATACATTACTCAGTGACAGTAAAAATTGGCAATTTCCCCTTTAAAAGCAGAAGCACCAGTCTTAGAATATGTAGTATGAATGGTGTTTTAAGTGTAATCTATTATAATATAATGAGCAAACAATTTAGTACAGGACATACTTTCTAAAAGTAAAGTGATTTCACACACTGAAATCTGTTAGAATGGAAATAATGTCATGCTGCATGATAAAAAGCCCCGGTGATTTTCAAAATTAACTTCAAATTAAATATGCTGTACTGTTGAATAGATGTATGAAAAATTAAAAAAAGGCTCAACTAGCCCAAAATAGAGGGTTTCTTTTATACAAATATAACCCACATTGAGGTTTCTTTTCACATAGTCACAGAGATTCTTTTGAGAAACTAAAGCAACCATTTTATTTAAGAATTAATTTGTTCGTTATATCATCATGTTTTTACTAAACACCCACACTTTGTGCTAAGCTTTGCAGTAGATGTTTAGGGTACACAAGAGAAAGCCATGGATGGTCTTGCTCCCAAGGAGCTCACAGTCTAGTGGGATGGGGGCAGAGAGGGTGCTGTTGAATTTTAAATTCATAAAAAGTCTCAGGCAATTTTATAAATTTCCTGTGTAACCAAATAAACTTTCTTATGAATGAATGGTAAAAAGGGATGATGTCCAGTGCAGGGAAAAGCCATCTGCTTCAATATCATGTGACTTCCGCAAAGGCAGTGATGTGGTTCTGGAAAAGAAAAGGGGATTCCGGAGTCAGATTCCTGGGCAAATGGATTCTATAAAGAACTTAGCATTTTGACAAATAACTACTAACTTAATGTAGAATTGTGACCCACGTGCATGATGCCAAAACACACAGTGTTGTTAAACTTACTTCTCTGTACTGTTACATTATATTAGCTAATTATGTCTTTTATTCCGTATTAATTGACTGAACAGTTTAAAATGTTATACCTGCTTTGTTCAAAATTAACACTTGAATTTGGGTAGATATAAATGGCAATACCAGATGCATTAATATTCTCCTCACTGTTAATGGAATTTCAATGCTCAAGCTGCAGTTTCAGATTAATTGCTCTCTGTGAGACAGATGGTGTAAAGTGAGGTGGGCAAATGCTTAGACTGAAATAGCATTTGTTAGTTGACAGAGATCACTTTAATCCTTCATTCTTGATGCATTAATTTAGACTCCACACCAAAATCTTGGTTTGTTGCTGTTGTTCTTATTTCCTCCAACCACAGGATTATTTACAAGCACCTAACCCTTATTGCCTCTTTTTCTTTAAAAATCAATTATAGAGAAACCTTTTGGAATGGCTAATATTGAAATAGTCACAGGCATAGAATATTCATCCCATAGATGCTGAAATATTATAGTAAAAATTTGATAGCATGTGATTAACCCTGACATGTGTGGGATGATCATAAGATCTATCATGAAGAGCAATCTCATTGTATCACAGCAAGATACAATGGATCTCTCATCACACTACCCATGCCTTGCACAATAGTTATGTTCAGAGTTACATAGATAGAAACTTAGGTGTTACAATGATAGATATTAAGCCAAAGTAGATGAAGAAAAGAATTTGCTAAGTATCCATTAGCAAAGTGTTCTCTCCAGTCCACATCACACCAGCAGGCAAAATACTGAGGCTTGTCCTTGAGTGCAGGTGTCACCTAGGGAAGCAATCACTCACTGTGTGTCTTAAAATTATTTCAGATCCTGACATTCAGAAAAGTTAAGCCAATTTTGGTATTCTGCATGTCAGGGCCTCTAGACATAGGTGCCAGGAACTTCGGAGGTCTGCCAGGGCACCAATTGCTCTAACCACTGTGGCATCTCTCCAGTTTAAGTCCAACTTTAATGCTTAAAATTCTATGTGGAAATATCCATTTTACTATTTATTTCTTTATGCAGATTATACTGCATAACACAACCAAAATGAAGTCATGATTTATTTATTTATGATACCACAGTAGTGGCTTACTGTTTGGTAAGATCTGCCACTCACCAAATACCTTCCTTAAAAAATCAGGAAAAAAAAAAGGCAAAAATAACACTCCAGAAAAGTATTCAGAAAATAAATATTTTTTAAAAATATTAGGCTATTTCATTTTTTTTAATGCTACATTTCTAGTGAGAAAAAAAAATGGAGCCAATAGCAAAACCAGCAGACAAGCTAAGGGGTGAGGCACAGACCTTCTGTGGTTGTGCTGGAAACCTGTGCAGAAGGACATGATTCTCCTCCGTATTTGCTGTAGCTTTGCAACACAACTCCAACACCAGTGCGCTGATGCGCACATACGTTTATTGCCTTAATTGGAGGGGTTCACAGTGGCTAATCCCCATTATCCAGCCGAAGAGCCTGGCAAGGCAGTCTTTAAATGACCTCCCCTGTGAATTTTCTTCTTGATCGGCTTCCACACATTGGTTTTGGAACACCTACAGAATATGTTTTGCATATGATTTAAATAATAACATCTTTGCATCAGTGAAACCACTGGTTGCTTCAGAGTTTTAGGTTGTTATCGTTAAATCACACACAATGAGTTGAAATAAGGTGTATAAAAGTATCCTAAGGGGAGAGTGGGCTGCATGGCCCTCGCTAACATGTCATTAATGTGCAGATTTCTTTCAAATAATTTGTAAAGGGGTGAGATAATTTGTTAGACAAAGATGAATAAAGTTTCCCTTTTCAAGATGGCAGAAAAATACCTCTTATCTTCTTCTTTTTTTTTCTTTTTTGTTTTCCTGATACAGTATTTCTCTGTATTGCTTTGTAGCCTGTCCTTGAACTAGCTCTGTAGGCCAGGTTGGCCTTCAACACACAGAGATCTGCCTGCCTCTACTGAGATTGAAGGTGTGTGTCACTAACACCTATCTAAGACCTCATATTTTAATAAGAAGTAGAGTGAGCTTATGTTTTTAACATAAAATGGAATATTTGTAGTCTGATTTTTTTTGTTTTTACAGCATTTGCCCTTTTGATGAGGAAGGTGAATGGCATAATAGACTCTTCAGGAATATAGGTTAAATACCAACTATTTAAATGTGGGTTCCATTACAATGGGAAATTGCCAAGCATTTTGACCATCAAAAATTGAGCATTCTCATCTACAAAATACAGATATACTTACTTAAATGCATCTTTTATTAGTGTTAAATGATATATGCGTACTCTTTCTTGTCCCTATTACAACCATCTATTTGTGTTTTACCTGTTTTTTATGTGTGGTTGATAATATTCAAAGGAATGAGCTAAAAAATAACATTTCTAGAATTAAAATGAACAAAAAAAAGAATTAAAAATAGTCTACAGTTCAGAAAGTATACAAATGTAATATCCAATTCAACTTCAAAGTTTTAAATTTTCTTACAAGAAGAATACAAATCCATTTGATAATTAAAAACACCACTAATGACATAAAACAATTTAGGCTCTATTTTACTAAGTAAGAAACAGTCTTTGATTACAGAATCACCGGATTCTAATGGCTACTTGTGCAACAGAGTACACAATTTTCTAAACTGCAAAATATTTCACATCCCAATAAATTGATAACCATCTGACACTAAGGATATTGAATAAGGAATCACAGACCACTGTTAAAATCACCTGTGAGTCTGCGGTTACTAGAATGCTGCCTACATTCTGCCAGGGGAAGTTAGATTGCATGTCATAATCAAAAAAATGCCATGCTTCATTTTGCTATTTGTTCCCCCATTTCATTCATTGTCTGCTCTGAGACAGGGAGCATGGACAAAAGAGAGAACAGAAAAGGCCTAATGTGAAGGCCCATGCCTATAATCCCATCAAAATGATAAACTAGAGAGTTCAAGGGCAGGTGTTTCTACGTAGTGAGCTCAATAGTAGCCTGTGTTTACAGAGATTTGTTCTGAAGAAACAAAAAAGATAAAAGAATAGAAGTAGCATCCCGGGAAGGGAATGTGTTCTCTGATTCCTGTGAATGTCCCATGTGAAGTCTTCCTCCTAATGATTTGTAAAAGGAGTGAGATCATTTAGTAAAGAGAAATCATTTTAGATGTAATGTTAAAATTATTAGAGAAATTCAGACTTGGTGCTGTGGAATTGGTTGGAAATTTCAAAGTAAGCAATTACTTTGTTTAAAGAAACTGAGAATAAGGGAAAATAAAAGGCTCAGACATGAGCTTCATTGGCCCAGAGGACTTTTTTGGACAGTTTCTCTCTATATATTGATTTTTTGGGAGGGGCAGGATTGTGTATTAATTCAGAGTTTTCTTTTCATTCAAGAATTTTCTTTTTGTGCAATTACAAGGGGGCAAAAGCTATTTTTGAAGAGAATCCTCTCTGCTTAGGAATAAGGGATCTGTGGGAGGCTTCCTTTGACAAATTAATTAATCAAAAGATGGGTCTAGGCTCTGCTGGGGCATTAGCTACAGAACTTAGGAGCCTGAGTAGTCAGAGAAGCTATAGCTCCCAGTCCAATCTTTAGATGCCCTGTTGCTCATCCTGGGATTCATGTTGTGATTTGACTAAATACAGACACAACCCCAGAGGCTTCAACTTAATTGGTCTAAGGCCTCACACATCCATCAGAATGCAGAAAGGCTCTGTGGTTGATCCTAGTGTGCAGCCCTATTGAGAGTTGCTGCATCAGTTCAGCCAACCCATCTGCATCAAGGTCAAGTTCTGGTTTCATATCTAAATCACATGGGAAGCCTTATTTGTATTATTCCCCTCTCCAGATCTAACCGAGTGCCTATTGCAGCAAAATTCCTGGGCTTCCAGGCCAGAAATTCACTAGTTTTGAAAGTGCTATAAAGATGGCCATTGGTGGTTGTAGTGATCTACATACTTTTTTGCTTTAAGTTTCATATCTTTCCTAAGGGTCAGCTCTTTTCTATCTATCACACCTTTAATCCATATTCTCAGTTAGGTTCCCAGAAATCTGTCATGTTTAGGAATATAAATTTCTAGCTTCCCTCATCTGACTTCAAAGTTTGACTTTGTGGACATTTTTTGGCTGCTAATTCCTACATCCACACCAGCTTTAGGTTCTATTTTTTCCACACTCATCTGGACCTCATGATGGTCTGACAATTCTTTACAGCATCTCCAAGACTCGTAACCCTGTGGTCTTGCTTACCTATGGTCAAGTGGTTCTCTAGTCTCCTCTTAGGTGATGCTGTGAAGTGTAGGTATGTTTCACCTGTATGACCTTATCTACCACAGGTGTCATATACCCTCTGTGCCTGCTTACAGAATAATCGCCTTCATTACTAAGCTGGAAAATCAAAAGGCCTGTGGAATACATTGTGGACTTTTGACTGGGTATTTTTTCGTTTCATTTATTACAACCATAATAGAAATCACATTGGCATTCCTAGTAATTAAAGCTTATCCATCAGTTCTCAGGATTCTTTCATGTTAATTTAACCTAACTAGCTGCAATCTTGTTTGTTTCTTTCCTTTACAGTCTTTAAAAATGTTTTAGATTGGCCTCATAAGTATACAGCAACCCCCAATAAAAAAGCATGTGGGGATGTAGATAAAGGAGCATGTGCATAATAAACTCCTTTATGACAAGTTGCTGATCAACACCCAGAATCGTGCCTGCTTCCACAAAAATGCACTAGTCAGTCAAAATGCAGATGGCCAACTTTGGAAATCTCTTTTCCAGGTGTGTGTGTGTGTGTGTGTGTGTGTGTGTGTGTGTGTGTGTGTCTATTATTTATGAATG